AATTTAAGCTTAATATATCTAAAAATGGCTGATTTATAGTATTTTTCCTTTTTAGCTCAGGTGGCCATCTTGAATTTTTGATTCGCAATCAGAGTTTATTAGGGATCGTTCTCAGCTACCACCGCACCAAATTTCAGCTGAATAGCTCTAATAACCTCTGAGTTATGTCCATTTCTCTTGAACATTTTTGAATTTACCATGTCCTGGATGACTGAGATTCTTCTCCAGCGTTTTAACAATTTGTATTTTTGTTGGATGTAACTGGGACCCTGCGAACATAGTCTTGTCCCACTTCATGTACCACATGTGGTGCATATCACAAATAAATCTCTCTGAAACGCTGAATTTGAAATTAGCGGCTATCTTGAATTTTTTTACTTGAACTCAGAATGTGTTGTGAGCTGTCAGCTACAACCACATTTCAGCTCAATATCTCAAAGAATGACTGAGTTATAGTCAACTTTGCATTTTCTGAAGTAGCTGTGGCAGCCATCTTGAACCAAAATGGCTCCAACAGTTAATCTGTGTTTTGTTCAGGGACCTCTCCACTCTAGGTCATGTGACCTCACCGTGGTAGTTAGAGGCTATGAAGAGTTCTGTCAATGTTTTTCAATGAGAAAATGACCTTTGTTTGCAAATTGTGTCGCCATGGCAACTCAAAATATCAATAAAAGTAACAGCACCCATCACGGTACCGAACCTGTTGTTTAGATACGACATCTGTGGGGGTACACGTTGCAGTTTGTGCCATATTAAAGTTGATAGAAGAGCAAGACCCTTTTCAGGTAGACAGACCCCAAAAACAAAAATTTGCTCCCAGTAATTTGGCAATGCAAAATCATTTTCCAGTAGATGTTTGGTGCAAGGTCCATACTGCAACAGTGTGAACAGCTTTCCTATAAACTCAAGAGGAACTGTGAGTCCAGGACCAGGTGGGTGTGATTCATAGATGTGGCACTGTGGCACACCAAGCGAGACCTGAAAATAGTTTTCGCCTCAGTCTGCGGTGTGCTGTTACGAAACCATTTATGCAGCAACTGCTACTGTTGAGCAGGTCCTCTTCAGACTCCTAAACTTTTTTTACTTGCCTAGATGAAAACTTTCACACAAACTATGTCAGCCTCGGCACGAGGAAAGACTGAGTGTGCACAATAAAGTTCCCAAAGTCAGCATTTCTCATGGAAAGCTTTTATATTTAGATCAACCGTGGTGTCTGCCACTCAGAACCTAAAGTGGCAACTAAGGAAAAAGTTTTCCTTGTAGTCAAAGATGATGTTTGTGTCCAGACAAAGAGTTTAAACATCAGTATAGTAACGGGAGAAACAGTACTGCTAACAAGAAAAAAATCTGGACCTGTCACAAAACTTAAAGTATAATTGTGTAAAAGCTGTAAAAGATCTCAAAATGCATGTTCAGACATGTAAAGTCCAATTTTCTGTGACCTGTTTCAACTTTGAATGGTGTTTTGAGCTATTCTGAACTATAACGCTACAAAGAAAGATTTTCTTATGTGTTTCCCCACATTTCAATTGGATTCGATTTCTATTCAGTTTATTTCTATAACTCCAAGTCACAACAGACGTCGTCTCAGGTCACTGAACAGAAACATTCATGTACATAAAAAAAGCCAATTACTACAGTTGTCTATCTAAGGGAAGAAGCAGCTTGTGTTGAATCTTCACTTCGTCACAGTCTCCCATCCTGATCAAGCACAAAGGAGACAGTGGAAAAACTCACTATAAACAGAAAGAAACCTCCAGCAGCACCTGGTTCAGGACAAGTGGCCGTCTGCTTCAACTGGCTGGGTTTGTGAGGACAGGAAGGAAAGACAAACAGAGTGACGGTCCAGGTGAACTTTCTATAGAGGACCTGGTCAGTTTGTCCTCCAGCAGTCTAAACCTATAGCAGCATAACTAAGTGATAGCTCAGGAAACCTAAGCCAACCCCTAACTATAGGATTTATCAAAAAGGAAAGTCTTAATCCCAGTCTTAAAACTGGACAATGTGTCAGCCTCATGGACAGAAACTGGAAGTTAGTTCCACAAGAGATCTGCCTCCAATTCTGCTTGTGGAAACTCTAGGAACCACAAGTAAACCTACAGTCTGAGCAAAATGCTCTCTTAGGAAAACATGGAACAATAAGATTTGTAATGTAAGATGGATCTAGGTTGTTGAGAGCTTTGTAGTTTAGATGTAAGATTTTGAATTCAATTCTTGATTTGACAGGGAGCCAATGGAGAGAAACTAAAACTGGAGAGATATGATCTCTCCCACTAACTCCAGTTAAGACTGGCAGCAGCATTTTGGATCAACTGAAGACGTTTTAAAGACGTATTTGGACACCCAGACAAATTATATTCATCTTCAATGTTTTTAAAATGTATTTTCTAAATTGTCTACGCCAGGGTTATTCAATTAAACTGCTCAGGGGGCCACAGTTTCCGAAAGTGAGCAGCTCAGGGGCCAGACATCCAGCAATTAAAGTCATTCTGTAAATAAACCAGGTTTTACAATGATCTGTTACCTTTTAACTTTGTTTTATTGCATTTATGATTCAATGCAATAAAACAAAGTTAAAAGGTAACAGATCCCCCCCCCCAAATAAATATATATATATATATATATATATATATATATATAATAGCCCTGGTCTATGTTAAGCAGTGTACAGCTACCAAAAGTCATAGCAAAGAATTCCCAATTGTTTTGTTGTAAAATTTGCGTGTTCTCTTTTAAAGCTGTGCAATGAGGGACAGAACTATTTTGCCAAAATGTAACAAAACAAACTTAACATCATTTCTAACATCATGGTCCTCCTCCAGCAGTCATGAAGTCTTGATTCTCAGGAATTTAGGTTGCATTGTGCTACAAACACAAACAGTTTAATGGTGAGCTGCAGGACCAAGTTGTAAAAAGTGTTTTTGTCAAACAATGAACAGATGGTCAGTCTGTTCCTGCTGTTTGTCAAATAACCAGCACTGCTGACCATGACCTTCTTAACAGATCATTTACTCTAATGTGCATTCCCAGAAACCCATTTTTACAGCTGACTACAGGCAACATAAACAGTAAAGGTTGTACAAAAAAAGACAATTTCTAATTTCAAGTGACTGATGATTAAGACCCTTAATTCACAGTTTTGATACAATACCCCTGCTTTCTTTTGTCTCTGTACTGAGATGTTCTCTGGAGCCCACCAGTACAAATGGCTACTGTTTGCTCAGAACCAGCTGGTTTGGACAAAGCAAACCATAAAAGCATAACTCTTATGTAGTAACTGAAGCAGACTTGAAGTGTGTGAGGCAACAAAAAGCCTTAAACCTGTATGTCCCCCAATTAAGAGTTGAGCATGTTGTGTGCTTGGAGGTTGGGTCATGTAGAAGCTAACACTGTGTTCAGACAGCAGGTGAAAACATTTGATCAGAGCTGCTTTGTGTTGAGAACAGACTTCCAGCTGATTTACCAACATTAGTTGCTATAGAGACGGATGGTTTCCAAAGTTGGGGACAGGACCACAATATGAGCCTTGGTCTTCAGAAAGTCTATGGGAATCAAATTAATGTAAAATCATCATTAGCTAGGTCTGTCACAATAACACATTTGGCTGGACGATTAACTGTCTCAGAAATTATTGCAATAAACCATAATATTGTTTGAAATTTGACAATAATTAGTAATTATTGTCAAATTTAAGAAGAAATGTTGGTTAATTTTTGTGTGTAGTACCTTTTTATTGACCATTGGATGGCAGTATAAGACTGTTTGAACTGAAGGATAGTGAGGGAGCGAGCAGCGTGTCTCTAAGAAAAATGGGAGGGAGACCCCTTGACGTGACATGGGCTGTCGCTCTTTCCTGTTTTTCGGTTCTCAAAATGGCGGACACTCGGAGTGGTTTGAGCTCTTTAGCATAGCATTTGTCACACAAAGCTTTTAATAAAAAACATCAGTAAACAAGTTCTCAGCTTCTTTTTGCAGAGAAAAACAACCTTTTACACGAAAACACGGGTTTCATCTGTGAATTTTGGAGCTTCGACAAGATGGAGGTTTTTTTTCCCCAAGGTCAGCCTGTTAGCTTAGCTTGTAGCTTAGCTTCTCAGCTTAGCTGCTTTTAACCATCCAAAAACGCAATTTTGGATGGTTAAAATAGATTTTAAAGAGAAAGGGAGGAGTCAGTGAAGAGCACTGGAGTTGAGTCTTTTTTCATCCAGTGTCTTCAGTAGAAAGTGAGACATGAAGAAACGATAAAGCCCATAAATGAAAATGAGGTCGATAATTTTCATTTATCATGCGATGAATTGATTTATTGTTTATCGTGACAGGCCTATATAGCATGTGTAGGGTTAATTGTTATAAAAACAACAAAAAATGTGATCGTAAATGGTTACAAATATTATAGTTGAGGCGTTTTTATAAATGGGTTATTAGCTGTGTTTGTATGTTTCAACCAGCATCAGTCAAAGTCTTTTATTTTCAGTTTGTGTTTCAAAGTTTACAAAGTTTTGTGTTGGTCCACCACTTGAAAAATAATCTTAATTATTAATTGAATTATCAGATCTTCTAACATTAACCCCTTTAAGATCACCATCAATTGGTGCAAACTTAGATTTTTATTGTCTCACAAATAATTTTTCAAGAAATCCAAGTTTTGAAAGCGTGACTTCATCAACGAAACGTTTTAGCCACCTATCCTGTCAGAGTCCTGTTGATGATCCATTTGGTTCCAGAGTGTCGTTCTGTGATGTGACGGTACAGTTTAGAGTCCAACACTGTTTGAGCTTTGTGGTGGGCTTTGCTTGGTTTGCCAAAGTGTTGAGTTTGGGAGCGAGTACAGTCCAACTTCATGCATTGAACCAGCGATACATTGCATTAAAGTTTGCAATTCGGTACAGAAGTACCTGTTAATTGTTCTTGTTCTTTATGTATTTCTGTTTTTATCAAGACCACTTAAACTTCATGGACCTTAAGTAAAATGTTTTTCTCTGATTTCTTTTTGTTTCTAGTCTGGACCAGAAAGAAGAGATAGGAAGCCAAGCTAACAGCGTCACATCTTCAGCCCACGCCCAACCACCAAAATGGCTGCCTGGTTTCCTGAGACACCCCCCGGCATCAGGAGTGAGACTAGCCTCACCTGGCCTGGCCTGGGCGCAGCCTGCTGAGGCGTCACAGATCAAGCAGAGGCTGAAGAGATCTCGTGGCCAGACGCATTTGCGTGGGGGTCACCACTACCCTAAAAATGCACAGCTGATGAGAGTGGGTTGTGTTCTGGGCACCTGCCAAGTCCAGAACCTCAGCCACCGTTTGTATCAGCTCATTGGCCAGACTGGTAGAGAAGATTCATCCCCCATTAACCCAAGGAGCCCCCATAGTTATGGATGATCTAGCCAGCACCTTAGAGCACCTACAGCAAGTCTATGTATGTCTTTATTTAATTATTTATCTCCTGATGTATTACTTGTAGTTTGGACCTTAAAGATTGATGTAGTTGAAAACTTCACTTGTTTAGGCGAGTGATGCCTTTACTGTTTTTACTTGACTGATGGATTTGAAAATTGAAATTCAAGACAAGGACCAAATGATATTTGAACCTCCAAGGCTGAGATCACCCACCAGCCTGAGAATTACGTGCCTTTTGAAAATCACTGAGGACTTTTTGTGGAGTCCAACATGCGCTTTCATTCTGTTAATGGAAGAATTATCGTTGAACACCATCCAGCGGCTTCACCCTGCACGCTGACTGACCTGCTCAGTGTTGGTTATCCTTCAGCTCGGTGATCAAACACTCGAGCTCTTGATGTGGATTACAAGCTGCACCATGAGCTGGAGCTTTGTCAAAACCAGTGTATTTAGAATAATCCAATGAACCCCTTTACCTTTTTTGTGTCTATTTTGGAGTGTGAGCCAATACACCACATTCCTGGAAAAGTCCACAAACACTCAGTCGAAGTGGGAATCCATCTGTAAGAAGGACTAAGTTTCAGTGCTGCTGTTTAAAACTGAAACCACAGAACGATCTGAGTCAGGACTTCAACACGGGAGGGGACAGAAAGGAAGATGATTGATGTGGAGTTCTCCGAGAGGAACGTCAACAGAGCGCCTCAAATATGAGCTTAATTTTTGTCACAGTGGTCTGGTGGCTGACTGAACCGTGGAGCCACAGGTCAGTTTCATCGCTCCTTCTTGCAGTTTTCCTGCTGGACTCTGAAATATTAACCCTTACACATGATTGATTACTGCAAGTCAGGACTTCGTGTTTAACAAACCTGAGCCAGTTACTTTAGTTACGCGTCCCAAGTCAAAAGGTGCCTGAGCATGGTCTGCAGCACAAACGTGGAAGACACCGCGGTTCCACAAACACACTCATACTGGTTTGACATTTCTTCACATAAAGTGGTTGAACAAGCAAAAGATTTCCCCCACGATAAATTAGAAATAAACAATTGTGAACACCAAATTTCCATTCGCTTTGTTGAAATCGGCTGCAATCTGAAAAAGGAGGTAAGTTAAAACAAATCAAAGCTTGATTTCTTTTGACGAATTGAAACAATAAGAAAAATTGTATATATCAAAATCAGTGTCTTTTGTTTGATAAAACCCATTTTGAGAAGTAATGCTGACTGTGTGTGTAAATAGGGGCTTCGCCTCACTGCTGGGCTCTGTGGCCCAACATGTGGAGGGCTAAAGTGTTGGTAAAAAAAAAAAAAAAAAGGTTTGTAAGCTCAGTCATCCTGGTACATAAATCACAAAAAGTTAAATCATGTCATCTGGACAGTTCCTTTTAGGTAGAAACATTTAGTCTTTCATCTGAAAGACTTCATCAGTCTGAGGCCTGCCACCAAGATCTGTCGTATAAATAGCATCTCATTGATGCGTTTGAAGCCAGCCTGCTGTGGAGTTCCCAGTAAATGGCTTTAAACATGCTTAAAAGGGACCATCAGTCTAAAACAATCCATCACCAGTGCATAGCAAGATGCGTCCAACAAGATGCGTCCAACAAGATGCATCCAACAAGATGCATCCAACAAGATGCCATGAAGATTGTACAAACTAGCCAAAGCAAAAATGAGTAAAATCCTCTGGTAAAACACCGTTTTTCAGTTTTTAATACGCAGTCACAATGTACTTTTTAAAGTGAGACCACCTTAACTAAAATGTTCATGGTGCCTGGTTTAAATTACAGCACAAAATAATGACAAAGCACCCCAGATGCCCAACATTATGTTGAGTCCCTGTAGAAATATGACTTGAAGTAGGAGAATCTGTTTCTGTGGTATTTTAAACTGCTAGTGTCATCGAACTGCTGAAGATACGTAATTTTACTTGTTCATTTTATCTAACCTTTATTTATACAGGTAGTCTCAGAGTCATGAGGACTCATTTTCATGAGAGACCTGTTAGGGAGCAGATGGTGGGGGTTAAGGGCCTTGCTCAAGGGCCCAGAGTGGGGCAAATGAGGGTGGAGGCAGGTGTGGGTGTTTCACCTTTTACACCCACTTTTTAATGTCGGTCCAGGGAGTCGAACCGGCAACCTTCGGATCACCGGCTGACCTTCCCTAACCTCAGTGCCACCACCCCCCTCAAAAAAAGGAGAAATATCTGTTTCATAAAAGTTTAGTTATTTAGGTGAAAACAGACGATTCCATTGATGTTGATAAATCCTGGGCTCCAGCCTCGTTTGACAGTTCCCTCAACTGTCGTCTGTTTCTACAGGAGGTGGCGTCACGCTCAGAGTTCTGCTTATGAACTTTTTTTATTCCTATAAAACTTGTAGTTTAAACTCACCAAATACCTGGCAATACTTGACAACCTGAGTGACCCACATGATACGATACGCACGCCTTAATGCATCGTTGGCTTTTTCATGGTATTATTCTAGTCTGTCTTTTCTGCTCTGACTAAAATCGGTGAAATCACGAGGTATTAATCAGCAGTTCTTTGGCCTTAGGTCTAATCTGTTCAGAGGTTTGCTGAGGTGAATCTATTTTCTGTCTGCTGTAACTAATTAATGTCTCGTGACAGATCATTAAAAGGCTTTTGAAACGCTCACTATGATTTAAATGTATTCCTCCCACACAGTGCATGTGTGAGCTTGTGTTTGTTCTGCCAGCTCGCCACGACGCTCGTCTTCTGTTTGATCTGTGCTTTAGGTCACTGTGCCGACAACTGTTCTTTTATGTATGTTTTGGAAACGCCAGTGCGTCATGTGGAGTTGTGTGAGCAAACCTTTCCGACACCAGTACCTCTCGTTTGACAACACATTTCGAGGCTGTCCTTTGAGCCTCCCAGTAAGTTTTTCACTGATTTCACACTTGAACGTCACATGATCTTCTTTAGGGCCACAGAAACGCACTTTAATGCATATTGACAGTTTCTCAACTTGAATTTCTCTCGTTGTCTTGACGGCAGGAGGACGTCCTTCCTGCACACGTGTCTTTGTGAAATTGTCTGTGTTTGAAGGTCAGTGCACTCCACCGAGCGCACCTGTGAATATATATTATGTCAAAGTATTTAAAGAAAGAGTCATGTATTTAAGTATTTAAGTTGTCTTTGTATGTTATTATATGAATGTCACAAGATATTATTTATCTCGTCTTTTCCACTGCTTCTGTATTTATGGTAGAAAAGGATTTTTTAACTGTAGGTACAATGTTACTGTTTGATCTGTCCTTCAGTCTGTAAAATAAAGAACTATGCTGGAGTGTGAGCGTGTGGAGGATGATTTACAAAATGTTTGTGTGTGCATACCATACGGCATACCATACATGATCATAAGCTCTTCGAAAAGGTTCACAATCTGAAGTCCTGAGAAAAATGTCCACCTGCTTTCACTTCGAGGCTTTTTACACATCATAAAAATGATTAAATTATTCTAAAATAAGGTCTAGTCTACAAAAACAACAGATGCCACTGTGTCATTTATTAAACAAAACCAAATAGTAAATGGACTGTACTTATACAGCTCCTTACTATCTAATTGAGACACTCAAAGCTCTTTACAACAATCTGTGCCTCATTTACCTCCAACACACTCATTCATGCAGCACTCTACTACATCTCTACAAAGATAAGTGAATCTGTAGAGATTAATCAGTGCTTTATCACATTCATACACCGATGGGACACATCAGAGGCGATGAGGGGTTCAGTGTCTTGCCCAGGGACACTTCAACATGTGACTGCTGGTGGAATCGAACCCTCAACTCTCCTATTGGAGGACGACTGCTCTAAGAAGAAGAAGTTGTGAGAAAAAAACCTGCATCCAGCTCCTGATTCAGCAGCTTGTAGACCTTCGTTTAGCAGAAGTAGCTTTCAGGAGTATCTTTCTGACTGTAGACTCTATTGGTCTCTCACCTGGTTGTGGATGAATATTGTCCCACTTTTCTCTGCAACAGTGCTTCAGTTTATTGCGGTTTGCAGACATTTGTTTTTGCACAGCCTGGTTAAGGTCCCTTCGCAGCATTTCTGTCAGGATGGGTGAAATAGAAAAACAGAGGCATGACCAATGACAGCACCAGGAGAGATTTTTGGTAGCCATCTTCTTAGGAGCTACATGTACCACCCTGTACTGTTTACATGTTTGAGTCATTTGTTGGACGCTGTCACATTAGTTCAGAAAAGCAGAAACAGGTTTTTTAAAACTTATTTTACTTTAATAAACATTGAACATGCATACTGTGAAAACAAGACAACAAACATCAGGGACAAAATGTCAAATCAGCGCACTACCAATGTTATGATAAAATAAGTTATTAAGTTATGTTATCATTCTAACTAAACAAATGCAAGTATATTATCATAATTTCCAAACTATAGAGTGCACTTGAATATAAGCCCACTAAATTTAAAAAGAAAATTTGAATATACATATACAGTAGTCCCTCATTTATCGCAGGTGTTACGTTCCCCCCCCCCCCCACACACACGCAATAAGTGAAAAACTGAAAAGTAGTAACCTCTATTTATTTGAGTATTTATAGTATTTATATAAATTTAAGGCTTTAGAAAACATTTCCACACTCTTGCAATGTTCTAAACTTTTAAACTTACATAATTTTAACAACATAGATATATGTACTGCGCAGTAGCTACATACTGAAAAAATTTATTTGAGTATTAACTAGCATTTGTACAGTTTTGGTCCGATTCTGATCGGCTCTCTGC